AAAGTCCACATGCACAATGACAGAATGAAAGGTAGCAAGGAAGAGAAAGAGAAATGAAACAAGTAATGACAGAAGAGAAAAAAAGCAACCAAGAAAGCATCTGTATCTAAACCTCAGAAAGAGAATGTATTTGTTCGTATTGTTTCCTATTTCCATTTGGCTTCCCTGGCAGGTAGCCCAGTGCTCCATCAGTAAGAGGAAAGGAAGTTACAGTATCACATTGTTGTAGGGATTGAATTTTATTGCTTTGCTATTACAATTAGGCAAGTATTAACTCAGTTAATGAGGCATAACTTTTTTTAAAAAGTATATACAACTGGGGATTGTGGATTAGTCCTTCACTAAAGCCCCAAACAAAAAACTTTATGAGAGCGAAGGAAAGAGATTAAAAATAGTAAAATACTAAAAGGTGATGCAACTTTAAAGGGGAACACTAAAAGCAGGGAATCATTAGTGTTGATTAGCTGACAACCAGCCTGAGGGAGGCTGCATGCTTTTGCAGTGACCAAACCTGCTAGCAAATATCTAGCTAGCCACGCAAAAGCCACCCAGATACTAAACAAGAGATGGGGGAACAACCCTGGCGCCCTACTTTACTGGCCTGTGTGCAGGATACCTTTTCATTGTTCAAATTTTGAGCTTGGTATGCATTACCTCTCCAAGCAACCTGGATTTTTTTTTTCCCTTTTTTTTTTTTTCCCCATACTTTTGTCTTAAGTGTCATATATTCCTACTAAAATGGTACATTTCTCTGGCTAAAATTATTATTCTACCACTCTAAATCCTAAGTGGGAAGAAATGTCTACACGGAACATGATTTATGGAGGAAACATTACAGGCAAATTTAAATGTCTGGTGGGAATCCACATAGTTAAACTTACATGGCAAGAGATCAGGAATGAAAAGCATAGTGAGGCAGGCAACTAACACGGTAACTTTTGAAATATTGCTTTGGTCATCTCCTAGCCTGAGTTCTGGATTCTCTGGCTGGCTGGGCTGTGGGCCATGATGGACTGGGGGCCTCCACAGGGCACGTGCCAGCATCGGGAAAAGGGGGAGGGAGGTTGGTACAATGCTTGCTGGGCACACAGGGGGATGGAGGGACCAAAAGAAGTCTGAAGGAGGAAGGTGTGCTTTGATTTGCAAAACATTTGTGGCTTGAGCCTACATTTGGGGCCTCCTGCACTGCTGAGGGAAGATGGGAGCTCTGAGAGTAATGAAAGGACTGCATGAAGGGAGCGAGCCACCCTGTGAAATTGCTTCAAGCTGTAAAATACACTAAAGGAGTCGCTCCTGCTGCGAAAAGGGGGACAGGAAAATTGGCCTCAGAGATGCTTATTCGAATTGCTGGCCAGAGTGTGGCACAAAGGTACCAGACCTCCAGTTTATTTTTTTTTTTATTTTTTTTTATTCAGACAAATTGTTTTTAGCATATATATGTTTTTCCTGGCTTCATTTCAGCTCAGTGCCTTAAAATTAAATGTTATACTCCATGCTCTCAGTGAGACTAAACACTCTGTTTTTCGTCCTCGTGGGCTTTGTGCCAGGAGGAGAAATCCAGCCCTAGGGGGTGAGCTGGCCTAGGGCCCGTGCAGTGTTTTGGGGTGAAGACCATGGTGCTCCCAAGGTGGATGTTGTTTTGGCTGGAGTATTGGCGACGCAGCGCCTTCACAACAGACAGGGCTGCTCAGCAGGGCAGAGGCACTTGAACTTCAGCAGTTGAGCTGCAGTCTCAACATACATCCCCAGCACAGTTTCTTCTGGGATTTACATGCAATATTTATTAAAGGAGCAGCCCACAGGCAGTCTACATGCACAGGACGATGACACTTATGGGTGCCTGAGATCTCATGCCTGGTGCTTTATGCCAAGATGTGCTTTACTGCTGCTGAAATGGTAATTTCAGCTACATTTCATGGCTTAGCAATGAATCAATACGAGCTCAAAATCTACTTCCCTAAATCCCCCAATACCAAGAATGTTTCACAAAGCTCTGATTATTTCACACTGTCTTGCACATGTACACTTCTGAAAGGGTTAGAAGCCCTCCTCAGTATTAATTACAAATCCATGGTGTTAAGCTCAAGTGGGTCACTTTACTAAAGAGATTTAGAAATGGGGCTTTCTAATAATGTTCGGATAAACTGAATTGAAGAGGGGCAGAGATAAAAGGATATTTTCCCCTTATATCAGCAGCAGTAAAATGAATTAATAGATTGCTAATGATCCCAGACAGTGGATCTCAACTACCTTCTGTCATGGTTTTGGCTAGGACAGAGTTAATTTTCTTTGTAGAGGCTCACACAATGCTGTGATTTTGATTTTTTATTAAAATAATGGTGCCAACACTCTGATGGTTGTGGTTGTTGCAAAGCAGTGCTTACACAGAGCCAAGGTCTTTTCAGTTCTGGTGAGGAGGCCGGGGGCCCACCAGGAGCTGGGAGGGGACAAAGCCAGGACAGATGGCCCAGGCTGACCAAAGGCATGTCCCATGTTGTGTGGAGTCATGCTCCAAAAAAAAAAAAGATGGGGTAAAGAAAGAGGAAGGGTGGGATGTTTGGAGAAATGGCATTTGTCTTCCCAAGAAACCATTCTGTGTGATGAGCCCTGCTGTCCTGGGAGTGGCTGAGCACCTGCCTGCCCGTGGGAAGTAGTGAATGAATTCCTTTTTTGCTTTGTTTGTGCTTTTACTTTACCTAGTAAACTGTCTTTACCTCAAACCATAAGCTCTCACACTTTAACCTTTCCGATTCTCTCCCCTATCCCACTTGGGGAGAGTGAGCAAGCACTGCGTGGGGCTGAGCTGTCTGCCAGGGCTAAGCCACAGCACCTGCATAGGATGCTTGACTGTATTATCTAGCCTCAAAGTCATATAGCAGTGATGAACCTCACTTGTTCAGACTAATTAAAAACAAATAATGAAAGTTGCTAATCAACCAGATGTTACAACGCATTTATTTAATGGTGACTCTTAGTTTCTTTCTTGCTTGCAAAAGTTCAAGACACAAGCTAAGCTCCTGGGCATGCAGTAAAAGCATTTGCCCATATGCATTGCAGTTTTATTTTAGAACTAGGAATCCTCAGAGTCAGAACAAGTGATTGATGCTCTCAGGTTGTCAGTTTGTGAAAATTACTGTAACAAACTTGAAGAACTAGTCCAAGGGTAGCCACTGGCTATTCTCATGGAGCTCAGCAGACTGGAGAGGAGACCTTTAAAAAGGGGAGAGAGGCAGAGCCAGGCAATTTCAGACTAGGTATGCTAACCTCGCAATACATTTCTATGCAGCTGGAGAATTACAAGGTCTTAAGAAACCAACTAAGATTTGTCTGTCAAGAATAAACAGATCATGTCAAACCAGCCTAATTTATTTCTGTGACGGGATAATCTAAAAACTAGTAGATGTGATTTATCTTGTCTTTAGTAAGACTTCTGGTGCTGTCCCGCATGACATTGCCATGAGCTAACTGGGGAAATATGGGCTATTATGAAATCACTGTAATGTGAACGCATAGCGAGCTGAAAAATCTTACTAACTTACCGAGTACTTATCGTTTATCAGAGGTTCTCTGGCAGTCTGAAAAGCATAAGAAGGCAAGAGAAGGCTGTTCTCCACATTTCATAGTTTGCATTAGTAACCAGCACGATGAACATGTGTATGGTTATACGATGTGTGAATGAAACAAGGTTGAGATAATTATTACTAAGAGAAATATTTTAAAATTACAAGATTAAAATCCATTTAGAATTACACAAAAAAATTGGACTGAGGACTGAAAAAAAACCTGAGAGCACACATACAAATGGGGTATTAGTGGTGAGGGTTGGAAAGGATCTGAGGAATTACAGTGGCTCACAAAATGAAGGGAAGCGTGGATATATGCATTAACAGGAGTGGTATATGTAAGACAGCAGAAGTAATTGCCTGACTTTGCTTGGCACTCCTTAGGCTTTTACTGGTTTAGATAGGTAGGTCTGGACATCATCCTTAAAAAGGAATGCAAAGTGGGAAAAAAGGTCACTTGGACATTCTTAAAACAAAACAAAACAAAAACAAAAAAACAACGGTGTATCTGTATTTATGGAACTGATTATCAGGACTTTATCCACCCAGATTCGAGCTGAGAGATGGTGGTGGGCTGGAAGACATTTGCTCGTTCTGCCGCTGTTCATTTCAACGTACCCTATTGTTATTTCAGAATTGGCTGTGAACACTAACACCATTTTACAGCAAATGCAACAGTTACAAAAGCATTAATATCCACTGTGCCGTTGGGGATATAATGCGAACACAATGCATCAGGTCAGGCTAAAGGGACAGACACGAGTCACCATAACAGAACTGCTGGAGTGAAACCCATTTGCACTGCAAACAGTTTGCACGCAGTATAGATGGGACCAACAGAGCTGCGTCCCTGTCCTGCAAGTTAAGCATTTAAATCCCCTCATTAGGATTTAAAATGACACCAGATGCACCCACCGCAGAACAGTGTGAGGCATGCTGCTGTTAAGAAGGAAAAGCGGGTTTCAATCCAGCTGTTGCTGTTTCAAGTTAAGTCCAATTTTTGTCTGTATATTCTTGGTAGCTGCTTTCGGTGATTTCCCCCTTCTACTAAAGATACCAAGATGAAATGCCAAAACAAAACCCGTATGTTTCATTCACATCCATAAAGTTTATCAACTTACACACTCCAGAACAGGTATATCATTCATTGTTTTGCACCGGTAAGCGCAGTAATATACAAAAGCATGCACAATCATTTATGGTACAGAAAGATCCTATAACTTGAAGAATAAAGTAATTTTAACTGGTTTTGGCAAACATTCAAACCACTCATATTTTTCTGGGAAGATAATTCCTGAGATGCAAAGCTGAGTTGTATGTTGGCATTTTCAAAGATGCTGTACTTTGGTGAAGCATACAGAAACAAATCGGTAGGGACACAACAAAACAAGAGCAAAATATTATCTAACACAGATACTCAGAGGCAAGAAATGATCATGGGGTTAAACTACTGTAAGCGGTGGGCTTTTTTATTTCATTGAAAAGTACATCTATTACTGGATCCAACATAGTTATAAGATGAAAAGAGGTCCACTGGCAAGGGAAGAAAAAAAAAAGCTGAAGTTTGGAAATACTTGACACAACTGAAATAAAAGACAGCTTTTTCAGTATCCCATAGGCAGGCTGTAGTAGACGATGCTTTCCTATATCCATGGAGAAATAAAGTCTTTGACTGATGTAAGTCAGCTTAGCACAAATGCTGGTCTGTTTATTTAAAACCTGCACTACTTGTTTCTTTTAATAGATAATATAGGCAATATCTAGCTTTCACTCTGAACCCATGCTTTAACACTCAGAATTTATCCATATTTAATTACAATTTTATCACACTTTTCTAATCAAATAAATTTACTTTGTCTTCCAAGCAATCACCTCAGTATTCCAGTATGTAAAAAATACTTTCATTATGTTTATTATAAAAATATAAATGTTTCCACTACAAATCATTTTACATTAGTAAGAGGCCATCTACAGTTGCACAATATATAAACTAAATGAGTAAGTAATGCTTTAAAATACAAGTTAAAGTAAATACATATTGCCAATCAAATCACATCTATACATTGCTTATTGAATGCTAAGTAACAGCACAAAACTAGATATGTTAACAGAAATAAATAAAATGGAAACTATATTTAAAGATACAAAACCAATAATATGGTATGACATTTTTATGAGCAGTTGCATTTTGCTTGATGTCAATAACCAATGCGAGTCCTGTACAGGAAGATGGCCACACAAATTCTAGTATCTCTACTCCACAATGAAGAATTGTACACTGCTATGTATACATATGTACACGGGGAAAGGGAGTATAGGATGCTTGCAACAGAGGCCACTTACAGTACAAATCAGCTTTTGATGGGGAGAAATAACTAAATGTATTTTAAAACACTCTATACTCCTAAGAGCAAAGAAAAGCAAAATTGAGTTTCTTTTTTTTTCCCAAGCATCAGTGAGATTGTTTTGTTTTATGCTGAGCATGCTCAAACAGTGGGCAAGGAACATGATGTGGTACTATGAGAAAATGGAGGGTGATTGGTGTAAAGTTTTCAGCCATAATCTAAAACTCTGAGAACTGGCTCTGTGTTTTCAGAAGCATTTCTCAGATCTCTTCCCCCTACCCCATCCCACTCTCCCCCACTCCCTAGAATGAAGCTGAAGAGAAAGGTCACGAGGAAGCTGTTACAAAATACTGTCCCCACACATATTGCCAGCAAATGGATTTTGGTGAATTCTTAAATTCACTGACAATGTCTGACAGTCTCAAACAGGAAAAGAAAGATTCTGAATGAACTAAGCAACTAAAAATACAGCTTTTATATTTAGCATGCTGTATGTCAAGATAGATTGGAGTAGATACGAAGTGTTCTCTACTGTTTAAGTGCTTCTTATTTTCTTCCATTTTTCATTTTTTATTTCAACTTACTTTAAAACCCATTCATTTTTCTTTCAGAAAACATTACTAAATACTATCCTGTGAGTGCATTTCAAATGCAATCCTTTACAGCATGTTCACTGCCCCTAATTCTACTCCTATTTTAGTAATGTGTGATAAATTCTGTCTCTCTATTTTTTAAGTCTTGGACCCATGAAGAGCAATTTAAAAGCTGATTCAGCCACACAAATCCCAGGAACTGATTTCTCCCTTATTTATGTGCCCTATACTAGCTACAAAGAGCTTCAAAAACAAGCCAACATGACAAAAACCATGGCTAGTTAGCTTGTTTTGCACACACAGCACAAGGTGTCATGCCACACAGTCATCTGCCTCACCTACAGTCTTGGACTGCCAGGGACTCACCGGAATGAGGTTTAAACTAAAGGATGGGAAGCTAGAAATCCAGGGTGGTTTAAAATAATGGCCAGAGCGTGACACCACATCAAGAACATTAAGAAACTGGCACTGGAAGTGCCTCACACTGAGATTTAAACCATTCAGTTTCAGAGGAAAGAGCTGTGTCTGCTCAGAGCCAGGACTGACATGCTCAGGAGCTTAAGAGCTTGCTATTGGGAAGATGCTGAAGATGGGGGAGGACTCAAATCCCCTCCTGGAGGCCCATTTTTCCACTGGGAACTGTGAATGCTCTTCTGTAGATATGCTCCTTCCTGCTTTCTTTCAAGGAAACACGCAGTTCCCTGAAAGAGTTTACTCTTCTCTTTTAAAACACCACAGCCTGCCTTACTCCTTGACTAACCTTGCAGAAGGTTACTCCTCCTGTGTGGAGCCTGGCAATTTTTGTTACAAGAGGACACCTACCAGTGCACACTCATGCAAGGGCTGCAGCTTCTGGACTTTCAAATCACCATGAGACAGATTTTGAGCTTTTTAGCCCTGTTGAGACTGGGCTGGCTACAGCCATGGGGCACCAAGTACGTTCCCAAGGAACCTGAGCCAAAAAGCAAGGCCCCTGCAGGATCACAGCGGCTGGACAGAGGTATTCTGGATCAGACTTAGGCAAAATTACATACCAAATCACCATTGCATGACCTTAAATCATCCTTGCCAGCTATCCAACTAACCTTGGCTGCAAATCACCATCTCAGTGGCTGTCTGCATGGTCATACAACTCCCAGTTACCAGCACTGGGAGTGGAGCCCATCAGATGGAAGACAAACGGGTTGTTCCTCAGAAAGCACCCTCAGTTCACTCAAGATGCAGTCATTCCTAACTCTTTTTAAGTTTGCTAGGCAAATCTCCCATCTGAACAGCATCTGTGAGCAGTGGTCCTTGCTGTGCCTGACATGAAACCAGGCCTCTGTGAAGTAAGGAAATGTATGTGCCTGAACAGGCCAGGCATTGATCAGGAAATGAAGAGGCACACAATTCTGCCAGAATTCAAGCCTGGATTAAAATACCACTTACTGCAAAGGGAAGGAATCTCAGCAAGTCCAGATGCTTTGCCTAGTGTCAGAGCTGGAAAAAAAAGACCATCTTTCTTTCCTTTTGTATTTCATATGTGATATTGTGAGCATAAAATAATCTAGTAATTAACCCTCATACAGTTTCTCAGGTTAAACCAATGAAGTTCTGATAACATTTGGCACTTGGCAATAATACAGCCAGGTTAAGGTATTTAAGCATAAATATAAACAATAATTGAAAAAAAAAAAAAGGAAATAAATAAGTCTTTTAAAAATGAAGACTTTTTTTTTCTATTTAAATGAACACAATTAGGGAAGCTAACATAACGGTGAAAATCTTTTGTCAACTAACTCAAAGTCACTACAAACTTTATTTCTGTATTCCTTTCTGAAGTTGAAATAGCATGTTACAATGACATTATAGTAAATATGGCCAGACAGGTTGTGAGGTATAGTCCTCTATTTTCCTTGCATTTAAAGAAATAAAATACCTGTTACAGATCTCTTCTGTATAAAAATACTGCAAGTCTTTCTTTCTTCTTGTTTGCTGTATAGATCAAATACACAGCTTTTATGTCCTTGGGTTTTTCATGTTATTCAGTCACTTAATATTAAAATGGCTCTATGTTTTAGTAACACTGTTTTTTACTTGGAAGGATTTTTTTTTTTTTTACTTTTTTTTTCCTTTTTGAAATTTACTATCTGCATTAACAGTCAGTTAAGAGCACCCACCCTTTAGGATTAACAGATAGAAAACAAGTTCGCTCCTATTTTAAGGCATTTATACTCAGTATTTGAGTGTCTTAGTGGGTTTGAAATTTCAACCATTGTTTCCAGAGCTGTTGCAAAGAAGTCCTTTAAACGGTTCCGTTTATCAGCCATCACTTTTGCCCTTAGATGCAACTTTTCTTTTTTTTCTTTCTGTCCTCAGCAACATCATTTTGGTACCTTACACAGGAACGGGGCTGGTCTTTGTATGAGTTTCTAGAGCTTTGATGCTGCTGACAATCTTCTTTTGAGGCCCCACAACAGTAACGCCGATTTTCTTCGTGTCCCTGGAAAAAAGAGAACACGCACCAGGTGAGCGAGCATCCTGCGTCTGCGCTTCCTAGAGCAGATGAGAGCAAACAGCAATCAACTCGCTTGTCTTATATTGCTGTGTTGGATGCGCCTCCAGGTATGGCAATGCAGCTGAAACACAAACCCTGGCATGAAGACTACTGAGAGCTATGAAAACAGCAGGAGGCTGCAAAAAAGTAAAATCTCATTTAGCCCTGTTGTGTTAGCTTCCCTGGAAGCAAGGACAGCGAAGCAGTGTTTGCTACTGGCATACGCACTGGGACTTAGGGGTGAGGGGCCCACTTCTGGGCCAGCTGTGATCTTGAGCCCCTCTACCTCCTCCATGCCCCTATCAGTCTGATCACTCTTCCTGACCAGTGGACATCTCGCCATTATGGGGTGAGCCCACTGAACAATCAGTGCTGGGATTAACGGCTATGTGGCCGAGCTTCCCGGGTCTATTGCTCTAACGCTGTTTTTCACCCCTCATTTCTGCAGGCAGCCAGTTCTCTTTGTTCCTTGTGCAACACAGAAGTGGTTTAACACTTGCCAAGGGCTCATTAACCAGTGGCTCACAGGAAATTGGGCATTCCTGGAGGATTTCTGCACTGTCCCCAAAGGGTAATTGCCATAAAAACCCATTATCAGCCTTTTTATAGTTGCAATAATACACTAATTAACAGCATTGATGTGTTTAATTATCAACCCTGCAGCTGTTGGCTACCTCTTCATAACTGGTCCTGTATCCACTGAGCCCAATGGGGAGTCAAGATTTTCCTGATCAGTAAATTTATAACTGTACTTGATGCCTTTTCAGGTGCAGAGAACATCACCATACTCTTCCTCATCATACTGCATTTGAATGTAATGAACTTTCAAGTTTTACGTTTCCAAGTGTCTTGATTAAATGTCAAAAGGAGAGGCGGGAGGGAGTTTGCCCCCTGAACAATAATTAGCATGTAGGAGGAAATGCTACATAGCGCTTGTTCTTTGTCACATGAGTTGATGGAATATGGGATGGGCAAAAAAAAAAAAGGATTGGCCCACATGCCACTTGTGGGAAAAGAACAGATAAAGGGCAGATTATAAACAGTGCACAAAGCAACTACAAAACTGTGAGTGAAGGTAAGAAATGCTTGTGTGCCAGGCTATGCACAGTGCTACTGTATCAAAAGGAATGGCAATTTCCTTTACCTTAGTGAGAAAAAGGTATAGGACAGTGGTCTTCACAAAATCAACAGAGCATCTAGGTTTCTTTCATGTGTATCATAACCACTACAATACTTTACAGTTATCCCTTTATAAATAAGATTATTTTAACTAAAATCTGGAAGCTGAGTATAAAAATGCCACTCATGCTTATTTAAATGTGTACCTCCAGTCGTACGTAACTGGTAACGAGGGGCTGTGGTTATTTCAAACTTACTCTGTGGAAATCTTGGCTATTGTGTCACAGGAGCTGTACTCCACGCCCGTGAAAATGTCTTTGCACTGTCCTGTCCGAAAACCATTGAGCCAATCACCTGTTGAGCGGAAGGCTGCAATGTCAACGTTACTTTGGTCCAGGAGAAGATTTGATGGCCTGAAATGAAAAAGAATATGATGAAAGTTATGGATCAAGTACAAGTATAGATTTATTTTGTCTAAACTTATCACTGGCAGCAGTAAGAGCTTCCATGCTACTTGCAGGTTTTCTGCTCATCTGTGGAATTTCTCTGCCACTGAGGCCACATGCACTCATGCTGGCAGCTTTGACAAACACTGTGTAATCACCTCGCTTAAGAGCTCCAGCTTCTCATGCCCAGGTTTTAAATCACTGAAGCATCACCAATTCATGAAGCGCACCATTACATTACAATTTAATGTGTTTAAGCATTAGCAAAGACAAGCCTAATTTAAATTATGTTTATGTGATCCACCCAGTCCCAAACAACATACTAGTTAGTACAACAATGTGCACTCTAAACTTCAAATTGAGTGTACTGGTAGAATTTACTGGTTCAGAGTATTGCAGCCCACTGAAAAATCCTAAGTGGTGCTATTAAGTTAGAAGCACATAAAATAAGACACTAGGAGATTTTTAAAAAAGTTGTTATCAAGTCTAAAAATGAAATGGTAAGTGAATTGTGAAACAAATGTAACCACAAAAGACTTGTATTCTGCAGTGTACAGAGGCAGAAATGAGGTAATTTGTTATTACATACACGTAGCCAAATTGAAATGTAATTGCCTTGTCCAGTTTAAAGATGGTGTTCATTCTAAGACTGAAACTTCCATAAGGGTATCATACAAATAATCTGAAAGTGCAAACTGAATTACCGCCTGCCTTTGAAATGAACTTGGTGCTCATGAAGGATGCCGAACTGACCCAACTTGCATCCAAGTTCTCTACTTAGAAAACAATCAAGAAATCAATAAGAAACGAAATCAAGTCAAGAAATCAAACAAAGCACATCTCCGTGCTTCTTTGCCCATTTAAATATTTTTTCCATAAGTTTAAGACTACCTAGAAGCTATTGGGAAGAAATAACCCTTCTGAAAATAAAACAAAGCTCAAATACGTAATTTTCTAACAAGGAGGAATATATTGTAGCTGACCCTGCACTTTGCATATTGCATACAGCAGCAGTGGCTGCTCCTAAAATTGATCCAGAAAATCAGTTCTGTCTGGTATGAGGGCTCTTGTTTTCATAGTCTTGTCAGCCTATGATGGCTTCTCATGCGATGGCATGAAGGTTAAAAATAAAGGTCAGTTCTTCTCTGTAATGTCACACAAGTCAGTCTCAACCTCACTTTGTTTTAGCCATCTAGAAATACAGTGGTTATGCCCAGGTAGCTTTCTGAACTATTTGCTACAGTCCATGGAGAGATGCACACATTTCCAGGCAGGGGATTCGTCTGCTCTGCAAGAGGTCTTCCCAGCAGGCAGCTTGGATGAGACATCCAGCTCTGTCCTCAGCAGCCTCTCCTTGCTGACCTGCTCTTTATTTTATTATTTATTTATTTTTTTTTGGTGGTAAGGAAGCCCCTGAATAGCAATGCAATCAGTAACTTCTTTCTGCTGACAAGACACCTTACTAATTCCAATTTCCTTTCTCTCTCAGTGCTAATTAGTACAATAATGGCTTCCTCGACTAGTCAGATGCTATTAGAGACATCGACTCTATTTCTACATTTATTTCCTCCACTGACACACATATGCCAATACCAGGCAGCTTTTTAGCCCCCATTCAGAAATATGCATGCTCCATTTTAAGTCAAATATAGAATCACAGAATCATTCAGGTTGCAAAAGACCTCCAAGATCATCTGGTCCAACCACCACCCTGCCACCAATATCATCCACTAAACCATGTCTCTAAGCACCATGGCCTACCTTTCCTTAAACACCCTCAGGGACAGTGATGCCACCACCTCCCCGGGCAATCCATACCCTCTAAGTACCTTATAGGTGTCTTGTCTCAGGCTTAAACCTAAGAATGTGCTTAGCTGTCATTTCCTGATGCTGCTACTCATGAGCACAGGAGACTGACCTAGAAGATGATCGCTGCAACTTTACAGACTGTTTTCTGCCCATGGTTCTAGTGAATATCATCTGAAAAATAATTTGACTACTACAGCTAAATCCATCTGAAATTACTTTTGTTACTGGAAAAAAATGAAAATGAGAGGTGGTTAGACTAATGTATTTGAAGATCATGATGATGCAGAGTAGCGAGTAGGTTACAGTTCTGGTACTGGAGAACTGATCTGGAGTGTAAAATGCCCTCTTCACCCCAAACCCAACCCATCTCTGAGCACTGGAGAAAGGCAAAGGGAGAGCTCGTAAAGGCCTCAAAGAGAACCAAATGTTTAAATACCAGTGAATTTAAACTTCCTTAAAAAGCCTAGAAAATCCAAACAAAGCTTCCCTATCCCAATTCAAGTCTTTACTATGTTTCATTGGGATCAGTAGCACTGGAATAACATACTCCGGCAGTAGATCTGACTTGCACTGGGATAAGAAAAATGCCACATCAGTGATACTGAGACTTTTACCTTTCACCTTGGATGAAAAGAACAATGCAACCTTGCAATACAGCAGCTCCTGGAATTGGCTACATATTAAATGGCTTTTGATGTTTTGCCAACCCTTTCCATCAGCTGATTTCTTTGAGGGCCAGGAAATGATTTTAACACCTTCTTCCCTTCCAGGATGACATGACATGCCTGAAGAGCTCATCAGGTGCTTGAAAACCTTAGCTTCCAAATCACGAAAGGACATGCTCTGCTGTAGACCGAGCCCCGGCCTTCACCAGGTCTCAGAGCAGGGCTGTTGCTGCCTGGGCACCTTTCCTCACTCCTTGCTCCATGGAGACCAGCCAGGTCAGGGGCTGCTGCTTCCTGCAAGGGACTTTGGGGTTGCCAGGTCCTGTACCTCTACTGCTGTGGCCACTGACACTAACTGCAGACCCCACATGTTGGGAGCAGCAGTGGGTGGAAAGGAAGGTGACAGACGACATCGGAAGCCTGCTCTGCCCCCCAAAACCCTAAAGCAGGGAAAAGGTGGCAAGCAACACAGAACCAACAGCTGAGCTGAGGACAGATGGTATAGTACACCTCATGCTACTATTCTCAGGCTAACACCAGATCTTATTAGGCACCTAAATGACAGGCAGCTTTAAACAACCTCCAATTTAAGGCTCAGGTTGGATAATCAGGTCCAAGATATTTTTATTCAGTAGCTGTAAAACCTGCATCTCCCTGACTACTGTTTGTCCCACAAAAAGCCAATGCTTTTTATTTATAGTTTTCTGGATATAGTGTCTGGAATCCCAAGACATTTATTAAGAGTATTTATGATGTGTTCTTAATGATAAAGCATGGAGATGTATTTTTTTTCAGCCCAGTATGCCTTTTCAACTTAAATCTATTAAAATAAGGCCTGACACAAGAATCATTAATTGAAAAAAAAAAAAAAAAAAGCATAAACAAGTTGAAATAGAACAGGTCACCAGGATTAGGAGTTAGAGTAGCCTGAAAGAGCTTTTATGTTTATTACTTGGATCAAAGTATCATCAGGACAAAAAATACGACCTAATTTTAATGTAAGTGACCTCAGAATAACCAGCACTGTAAGGTATCATTTTTCTCCTTGTAGAATTCCAAACAAAAATTAGTTACTTTCCTCCTCAGAGAGGACATCTGGACAGTTTATCAATGAACAGGAATTTGTCTCACAGCAAAGAGCCTGTGATGTCTCCTTGCATGCACCAAGGGAAAGCTGGGCTTTCAGAGCATCTGCACACATTGGTGTTTTTTTCCCCCTGACCCAGCCCCTAGACAGAAGGTCTGAACATGAAATTTATGGGCTGGGTGATGTGCGCCATGAGCTCACACTTTACCAGACAAATTAGATGGGTTGCAATCCATGCAGCTGTAAACGACGTCCTGCAGGGTTCCACCTGATCTTTTACAGCTTTTCATAAATCAGTACCTACTAGCTTCAGAAGAGAGTCATTAAAAAGAAATCATGGAAATTACATGTTTGCTCAGGGGAAGTGAAATAGAACATTTCCCTCTGTCTTGTCTTTTCTACCTCCCCCCCTCCTTCCTTTTTTAGCTCTCTTTATTTTGTTTCTTTGACCAACTATGATATACCCCATTGTGTTATCTTTCAACAGAACAGGAAGACTTTCTATCCTGTCCATCCCAACTGTGTGTCTATCTACAGAGTTGTATTTACTGACATGCGGTGCCCTGAAAAAAAAATCAGCCAGACTTGGGTTAGTGAGACAAATTTAACAGTGAGATGCCAGTTACAAAATGTCCTGTTGCTGAAAGCTTTCTCTGGATGTGCCCATTATATTAACAGTTGGAATTAACCTTTGAGTCATTCGCAGCAGCACGGAGAGCTATACTTTGTTAACATTAGCACAGCCTTTTGTCACAACATGGGGAAACGTTTGTTGCACCATATAACAAAGACTACAGAAAACATCATTATGGCCCTCCTGATACAACCTCCTCTCTAGATGGTTGCTGTCTGGCTAAAAAGGGATACATTAACTTGTAAAATTCAGGAACCATGGCATGATACAACCAAAATGTTCCATCACGTCTGCGAAGGGAGAGAGGCATTCTGCAAATGCACAGAGGACATCTGCACACATGAGCCTAGTCTTCATGTTGTAGCCCTTTCCTTCCTCCAAACAACACAGCCAATCTCCAGCTTTAAAATCTGGACTTCCCCTTCTATAGCCAGATTTGTTTAAATAGGAAAGTATCTAGAAAACAAAGTAAATTCCCATGGCAAACTTTAGATAATTATAAGATGATTTTGTAAAGTGAAATTGCTCCATGGGGAGGGAAGCAGGCTTGGTTTGAGCACAAATGCTATGTGTTTTATAACTATGACAATCTGAAGTGCAGAATTCTGGTCTAGCAATAAGGGTATCTCCTATTTCCACAACAACAACAACAAAACACATAAAAATGAACAGCTGGCACACATGGCAAAATTTACTTTTATCTTCTGCAACAAACAGAATCATAGGTACTCCACCGTGGAGACCGGGAAATAAATAACATATTAAGGAGAAG